AGGGAGAGGGAGGAGGAACCATTGGGGGGGGGAGGGGGGGGCCGGCCGAACCGGGATCATATATCCCTGAGCCCGTCTCCTTCGGCAGCGGAGCTCGAAGATGCTTCTCAGCCAGTTCTTCCCTCCGGCGCCTGTGGAGGCTCTTTGGAAGTGTTTTGGCTGCAGTTGAGTTTTGGCTTAGGCTTCACCTTACACCACCATGACCTGTTTTATGCAGCCTTCATGCCCGCACCACTTTCGAAATCGGGCGATGACACTTCAGCTTAATGTGGGGCCCATTTTATGCGAACTCCACAAGTAATCAGTGCGCGAGGTAGGACAGAAGGTCTGAGAAAACAAGGCCAGACTACAGGCTCAGACCTATGCCAGTACATCTTCTTCTTCCGGGAGGAGCAGGCGCTGTGTAGGGATGAGGAAAGAAGCGCGGCTCAATGATACAAAATTCAGATTTCAGGGTGCCGTGTACCGAAATGAGAATCAGACACATGTGTCATGTAGCAGAGAGGGTTCTAGAACAGGTCTCTGTCTTACACTTCGGTGCAATGATAGGAGGTGGCAAGGCCCTCTAATGTAGGGGCCTTAATGATTAGAATAGGGTTTGGGGGGGTATCATTTAACTGTAAATAGAATACGGAGCCCCCAAAACAGTACAGGTAATTATCGAGTAAACCTTAAACCCTTAAGGCTCCTATGTATGTATATATATATATATATTTTTTTTTCTTTTTGCCCTATATTAGCTCTGAAGGGTCTGCTTCAACCCTTCGCCGCCTCTCGAGCGCTTCCGCCTCGCGACGCTCGCGCTCGCCTCAAGAGGCTCTCATGAAATCCTGGAGCTTACTATAGAGGCCTTAATAACTAGAATAGGGTTCCTTTAAAGGGCTCCTTAAAGGGTTTCTATAAGGGCTTAGGGTTTAAAGGCCTATAATAATTAGAAAAGGGTTTTGGGCTCCTTTATAGTATAAATATCATAAGGAACCCAAACAATATGGGTAATTATTTAGGCTTCTATATTACCTCTAGCTAGCTGCAAGGGCCTAAAGGAGACAAGGATAGACGATTCCGGATACCTCGTTGGGTTTGTTGGGTTGACCTATACTGTCGGCAGCTTCCAAGATGCTGAGGAGGAAGCGTCGCGCGGCAACGGTGCCTCGAATGCGCCGGCACATCTTGTCACAGTGGCACATCTGCCTGATTGGTCCGACCACCACATTGGCTCAGGGCAAGGCTGTCTCTGCCGCTTCTCACCTGCAGAACTTCAATCACACCAGGCTTTGCATAGCCGTGAAAGGAAGCACTGGTACGCGACGTCATCTTGCATGGCTCTTCGCGGAAAGGGGAGCTGGACTCGTGACCGGAGCTAAGAAAGCTCGCTTCATTCCTAAAGCAAGTTCTGCTTACTCGAACTGAGGGCCACGACGCTCTGCGAAAAGCTTCGTTTGTACTCCTGCGCACCAGGATGTGAATCTTAAGCCATGCACCTCAATTGGAAGATGGGAGCAAGTTCCATAGCCACCGGAGAGAGACAAAGAGGCCAGTCAGATGTATCTTTCTTCAACATGCGGTCGTGCTGTCCAACATGGTTTCTAAGGTTTCTGGCTGTCTACTACACCTGCTTCAGTAACGTCAGGTCTGCTCAACCGCCAATATCTGCAAAGCTTCGTCGATGCAAAGACTCAGCTGCGATAGCTTAACACCAGCAGATTTAAAGCCAGCAAGTGCAGCCCTGGCTTCCTTCAAGCGTGCAGGTGGCCGTGAAATCAAATACTCGGCAAACTGCCTGGCCGTTCTTGTTCCCGCGAGGGTCACTTCATCCTTCATAATCGCAAGCACGCTTGTCAGATAAGTCTCTGCGAAGAGCTTGTTAGGTTGGATGCCACGTAAGACCATATCGTCGCGTGCTTCGAGGAGGCTTCTCAGCGGTGCATTTGCATAGGCCCCAACGACGCATGTAAACGTCACGATGTCTGGCTCCAGCCCGCTGTCCAGCAGCAGTCGGTAGAGAAATGTCGCAGCGTTGTGATTGCAACCCTCAGCATTCCGGCAAGCCCGGATGGCGGATGTTACATGCAACGTGTCCATCTCGACTGCATAGGATCTCAATTCATCTAGAACTCTCGCAGCTGTTTCAATGTCCCCTTGGTCAGCCGCCGCTTCAATGCGGGCACATGCCATTACCTCATCTATATTCATCGACTGTTTGGCCTCTGCCCAGATTTGCCGCACAGCTTGGTCTTGCCCCAGACGCGAATAAATTTTCAAGGCAGCTGTGATAGTTGGCGATGTTTTCGGAATGTTTAAACCACAGAGCTTCTGGTAAACATGTTCCCCTTGTTGAACCTGGCCACATTTCAAGGCAATGTGCATGACGGCATTGAAAATCTGGACCTCGGCACCTGCATATCCGCCGAAAAGCCTGCGCACTTCCAACCAATCTCCGTTGCGTCCTGCATCGCTAATCCTGTTGAGCAGCTTCTTCCCGTCCTCGCTCAAGTCTGTCAAAGCGTTTAGCCTCTCTGCTTTCACGCTCTTGGCTATGCCCTCTTTCTCGCGAACTTGCCGTGATGGCAACTGCCTCGGTGTCGCAAAGTTGCATGGTGCCTGGCACATGAAACAAGCCACCGACAACACGAGCCAAATCCTGAACGCCGCGGGCAAGTGATGGGCATTCATCATTGCTCGCGTGTTCCACCGGCGCTTCTTTGCTGCCAACGAGGCGAAGGATTCAGTCATGGATGGTATGTACGGTGCCTATGGGCTGTGGAGCACTGCAATTATTCCTCGAAGCTAGGTCAGAAACCGCTACGTCGGTGAGACCACACATGCTATGAACATCTGCAATATGGCGGATAACTACGTTGACCTGGTGACATCAACATCACACATGAGCATTCGTCGAAAGTGCTTGCCAACTATACGTCGGCCCGTCTACTTGAACCCCGGGCTTGTCATCCACAACCACACCTGCAGCCCACGCCGGCAGTCCTTTGGAGTTTCTAATGGCCTGAGCAGGCTGGAGCAAGCATGTCAGTGTCATTTTCTCGGAACTTAGCATTCGTTAAAGCAGTCGGGCTTATCAGAATAACAAAATGCCGTTCATATCAGTAGTAGTGCTGGTAGCAGAGACTTAGTCGTCGTCGTAGTAGTAGAAGCAGCAGTAGCAAGCAGCAGCAGCAGCAGCAGCAGCAGCAGCAGCAGCAGCAGCAGCAGCAGCAGCAGCAGCAGCAGCAGCAGCAGCAGCAGCAGCAGCAGCAGCAGCACAGCAGCAGCAGCAGTAGCACTAGCATTTGGAGCAAGGGCAGGAGCAGTAGCATTTGGAGCAAGGGCAGGAGCAGTGGGAGTAGTAGGAGTAGTAGGAGTAGTAGGAGTAGTAGGAGTAGTAGTAGTAGTAGTAGTAGTAGTAGTAGGAGGAGGGGGAGTAGTAGTAGTAGTAGTAGTAGTAGTAGTAGTAGTAGGTAGTAGTAGTAGTATTAGTAGTAGTAGTAGTAGTAGTAGTAGTAGTAGTAGTAGTAGGTAGT